ACTCTGGCTGTAAAAACTTTTGCAGCTAGACTGCAGGTACCAGTGTCCCTCTCTGTTTCTTACTATGCTGATTCCTAAAGCAAAAATGAAATGAACTAACATTTAATAAGACAGCCACTGAAAGGGCAGGGAACAAAAAGAAACTCTGACCCTCTTCTTTCAGAATTGGAAGAGAGAACAAAAAAGGAAGCAGGAAGAAAATTACCTCTTAGAAATAGAACAGAAAAAAAAATAAAATCTAAGCAGCCATAACATCATTGCTGTTACTCCTCTATCACAGCTAAACTAGCTTTATCTTAATCTTCAATTACTATCTTACTCAAAAAAGAGCTTTTTTTGCCTACCTGCCTCATCAGGCACTGATAACTACATCTAATACAAGTAATTTGTAAAGGCAAATATTCTTTACACTTAAACACTCATTTCTGAACTGATCTTCTGTAGCCACATCCAAACCCCTTCTTTTTCTCCTGTCACCACACTCTGAAACCTCTCCTGCATACCAAACCCCAACTCATTCACCTCAGCACAAGCTCCCATGACCACAGCACTCGAAAAAACACACAACAAAACAACGTGCTAAAGCAAGACTAAACACCCAGCAAGGAGATAAGCTGAATTAATAGCACTGTACCTGTTGTCCTTGTTGCCTCACCACAAACAAAAGCCCATGTGTGAAGTTCAAAGCCTGGCTCCACAAAGGAAGCTCCTAATTAGCAGTCCCCAGTTAAGAGTCCTGTTACCCCTTTTGCCCATCAAGCACCTGTGCTGCCAGGTGGTGGAAGCCTGCAGTAGGTTTATCACACACCATCCCAGGCAACTCCAGCTACTGCCAGATCGTATTTTTGAGACAGTCATTTGCAAAAGCACTTCCAGTACGGCTTGAGAACGCCAGTGTCCTTCTGCAAATAAAGTCATGGGATTACAGCTGCAAAATCCATGACAACTGCCGTTAACAGAGTTACGGGTGTATAGAATCACAGAATGAGTTGAGTTGGAAGGGACCTTTAAGGGTCATCTAGTCCAACCCCTCTGCAGTGAGCAAGGACACCTTTAACTAGATCAGGTGCTCCAGAGCACCATCAAGCCTGACCTTGAATGTCTCCAGGGATGAGGCCTCCACCACCGCTCCAGTGTTTCACCACCTTCATGGTAAAAATTTCTTACATGATAAATGTCTTCAAATTACAAAAATGCTTGTTCACAGTCATGGATCTCTGGAAATAAGTATATTCTCTCGAATCCATTTCTGCCAGTTTTATCATTTTAAAGGAAGAATTTACAGACCAGAGCACTGCTGATGAGCACAAGGCGGTGCAGCTGGAAAGCAGAAGGTGGTGCCGGGTGGCCTGGGTTTGCCTTGTTAGCAGTGAGGAGGGAAAGCGGTCAGGAGGCCAAGTACTTCTTTTTGACTATACCTGAAGTTTGAAATATTCTTTGAATGATATATTTGGCTCAGGTGTTTGTTTTTTGGTTTGTTGTTTTTTTTTTTCCCTTTAAATTTTGAATCAGTAGCTTCTAGGCCTGGATAGTGTAACTATATTGATTCAGAGGGGTTCTTTTAGTTTGTTTTATTTTCTCAATAGCTTATGAATAGAAGATATCATTATTAGAGAATTTCATTATTAGACCATTAATGGTCAGGAAAAATTATAAATGCAACTCTGTTGGAGAAAACATGTAACACAAAAGTGAATTAAGAATTACTAATTAAGAACAACTATTAGTGGATAAATAATTAACTTGCATAAAAGAAATTATTACTGTGACATAAAATTGATGGAAAAAGAAACTTTAACAATGGAATGACTACTTTATCTTTACCTGAGCCTCATCGCCTCAATGAAGTCCAGAGTCACAAAACATGGTCTCAGGGAGGTGGTGGAGGGCACCAGAAAAAAGATCCAGCAGTTGGCTTATTCAAACCTCCTCATACTAAAAAAAATATATGCCCATTGGCTTGTTTGCAAGAACAACTTTAAAAACATTTTTAAAGTTTTAAAACATTTTAAAACTGTTTTTACTGGAGAAAATCTCATAAGAAGGCTTCCAAACCAGAAGACTTACAAAGAGTTATTTTCAATGTATTTTCTGATGCAAATTTGGAGTAAGATTGCTCCTCCAATACCTGAATTTTCAGTCTAAATAACTTTGATTTTACAGAACCGTTTCTGCAAAACCTCTCTTGAAATAATTTACAGAATCACAATGTTTTCAACATTTGTAATCCAAACATAATGGAGGAACTCTGCTTGAATCTGTCTGTTACGCAATATAATAGCTAGCTTTAATTTCATTGTTTGGAAGAAACTTATTAAAAGAATAAACAACCCCTAGTTGTAAGTAATTTATTTGCTCAGTGTCTTTCTACTTTCTGTATCTATAGTGCCAATCCATAAACAAGGCTGTATGCACAGCAGAGCAGAGCTTTAAACATAGATTTTAAAAATTTCTTTTCCTTTCCTGCATAGCGCTTTCTGTGTTGTGCCATGTGCTCTCAACACTAAATGAAAACCCTGGGCACTTTACGAGTTTATATTTTTTGGTCCTTAGACAAGAACTCATGTCTCCAGAACCTCAATAAATTGCTATCTGCAATGCATCAGTTCACATTTCCTACAGGTGTTTCAAGCCTTTTCCCATTAAGTGAATGAGTTGCTAGGGAAAACACCTTTTATATACATCACTACGTAAGCTGTCATTATTTAGTTAGTAACACATCTAAAAGAATAATCAGAAATAATAATTCTTTTTCTAAGATGTATCAGAAGAGTTGAGAGGAAGTAAATGCCATTTGTTGCCATAAAAGCATTCTTTTCATAAATGGTTTGAGAATTGTCACAACAAAATAACATTACTCTACTTTTTGCAACACTTTGAAGAGACCAACTGAGGAATCTGCCTTCTTGCTCCCTGAACCAAGAAGAGAACCGAGAACATCCTGTCCCTCTCAGTGGCTAAAAATCCAAGCAACATTTAAGCACCCACCTATGCTGGCTTTTCCCTCCACATAAAACCAAGTTCTCCTCTCCAAAAACTTGAACTGTTTTAGTTTCTTCTTCATCCCTCTAAAGGGCTTACCTCAAACATTACAATTTCTCTTCGCTGGGAAAGGCTAGAAAAGCTTCAAGTATCCTATTTGAAGCTGCAACTTTAGTGTCTTAGAATTCTGCTACTTTCTGCTGGGAGAAATATACCATTTTTTGAGGAAAGAAGGTAGATATATCTCTGTTGATTTCTGACAGCAGATCCTCTTTCTTGTTAAAGCATCTTTCTCATACACAACCTTTATATTCATTGGAAGAGTACTGCCAAAGGACTAAGAGGGAAGTGGTTGAACGCCAAGCCACAAGGAGTAAATTTCAGTAACTATTTCAGGAATATAACGTATGAATAAACCAGCTACTCACTTGGCAATTAACAAAAAACCACTACAGCCTTGCCCAAATTATCTCTAAAAAAAAAAATCTTTGTTTTCCTTCTGTGTAATGTTATTAAGTTCTCTGTAATGGTTAAGTTTCTGGAGCAATATATACATTTGATAACAAAGCACAGTAAAAAAGAGGATGTATTTCAGTGTGCCGATTATGCTATCTGTGGAAAACAGCACAAGTTCTCAGTACTGAAATTCATGTAAATATGCTGGATACAAACAAAAAACTGTCCTAAAATGCTTGTGTGAAAGTGATTTTTTAGTCTTCACACTTAAAAAACACACTTGGCTGCAAAAAGACAAAGAACGTCGACACCCCTTTGATTGATACACCGATAACAGTGAATGTAATGAAGCTATTTAGGGATAATTCACAGATATTAAAGATCTCTTTTTTTAAAGAACCAACTTGGCCTTATCCAAATCCATCAGCTCTTAGGTGAACTCACAACGGGAGAGAATTTTCCCATTTACTGCATCTCCTTTTGAAAGGTTTGTCACATTACAATCCTCATAATTTTTCCTACTATTTTTTTATTTGCAATATTTAAAACCTCCTAGTTTTAATTTCAGACTACTTCTGATCTTTTTGAAATAACCCATCACATTTAGAACATTAGACATCTGGCAAGAAGTTAACTTCTACCATACTTTGAAGAGGTATGTGTACATTAAGAAACATGTCAGGAAGGTGGTGGTAGTAGGAAGAGCCTCTCTTTCTGGATATACAGTGAGCGAGAAACACTCGTCAGTCAGTATTTGTCAAGAGGCAATCCCTATACCCTGCTTTTTTCTTTTTGTCTTCCAAACCTTGACAAACATTTGCAGCTGTAGCTGAGTGAAGGACACGTAGAGCAGGATGTGCAGCCACAAAGAAGCCACTTCAGAAGAGGTGCTGGCTGGAACTGCTACCTTTCCCAGCAGATGCAAATCAGGAAGACTTGCAGGTAGACTCATATCCATATTCAAGTTGGTAAATCTAATTCCTCCAGGGGAAATCCTCTATTTCTTAAATGTTTTCCCGGAGTGCTTTGGAGAACACGTCCCATTTCTTGCTATGAAAAGCCTCTCTAATATTAGTTGACCCTGGCCACTCTGGACCAAGCACGGTCATTCTTCCTGTTGAGCAGTTCCCAATAAATATCAAGTGGGTTGCTTTGTAGACAGTCTTTCTCTAACTAAAGCTTTTAATTTTCTTACTGACTTACGCTTAATAGACTGAAAATATTTCTTTTTGTTCTTTCAGTTAGCTGCATTACAAGGAACTATTAAAACATTTTATAATACAGAATTGTATGTGGGCTACATCAATGGCACTCAAAACAAGATCTGCAGGCTGACTGACAAATAATGAACCATCAATTCTCAGAGTAGCTGTTGGCAGTCCTAAAAAGGACCAAGCTTACCCTACTGTAACATGCTAAGCATGCATTTAGCAAAATGCTGTAAAACAGAATAGCCATCTCCTGCAGGCAGTCACGAAAATTGACTCCAGAAAGTGCATTTTGAGTTCTGCACAGGTTAAGTAACTAGCCTAGTACCTCAAATAAACCACAATGAGATTATCTTCTGGTTTAAAAATGTTTATTTAAAAGAAAATGAGAGCTATACCCAGATGGCTAGGAAGGGAAAAAAAAAAAAAATCCTCAGTTTGCCCCTCCAAAACAATTACTCTCCAATTTACCTTTCCCTTAAGTTCAAGCTTCAATGTGTTATTAAAAAATCCCTCTGAACTTTCATTTCATCTTCCTATGCTGTTAAACCTGAGGAAATTGAGTACCTTTCACTGAAGGGTTGCAGGGGATGTGAAAAGAAACTACAATAAAATTTATTCACAATATACAAGTATAAAAATATCTTGCTTAGGATGCAGTATCATAATTTAATAACTTTTTGTTGTTTCATAGGTATCTGGGAAAGGTACAGACACATGTCCCGATCCTGTTACAAGAGGTAGAATGCCAGCATTTGGTACAACATTCCAGGAGAGAGTCAAAGTGATGTTCCTGTTTCCCCTGCAAAAGCAACAAAGACCATTACCACAAACACTCAGGTTAGCCAATTTAATTAATAAGTACTAAGAGTAAACAAATTAGGATTTAAATTGCTTTCCTGATCCAGAAATAATAGAGGTTTTAATTTTATGTCACTACTTCATTAATTATTACCTATTTTCCAGATACGACATGTTTGGTTTTTTACTGTAACCCAGCTCCTTTGGTGTTACACTGCATCACAAAACCAAATTTATACAGACACAAATATTGGAAGCAGAAACCCAGAAGCCTATTGCTCATATTAGAAGTGCGTCTTCTGGTCTACAGAAGAAACAGGGTCTCTTGTAGCTAACAATCATGTTCTAACAATCAATCTACAAGGATGCAATGGACAGAATATCAGATAGAATACAGGTCCATTAACATACCAATAAAAACAAATATAAAATGCAAAGTACACAATTAAATCAAGACACTCTGAATAACAACAACAACAACAATAATAATAATAGGATTTACTTACTTGAGACCATTTCCATCATCAAAGAAAAAGTACTTTGACTTCATATCTTTTAAGAACAGCCTTGGATTATCTCCTCTCAACATGATCTTGTCCCAAAGTACCACCTGGTTTAGAGCCTAAAAATACAATTGCAATTAAATTAGCAGGATGCCTTACAAGATCGTATTCAGTCACTCAAACTTCATAGCGTTATTCATTGAAAAACCTTGAAATTGAAGTACATGCTTGCAATCCATAACTAATTTAACAAGATAATGCTTTACGGGGAGGGAAACTAGTACTACTACACTCTGAAGTGTGGCACAGAATAAATGAAAATAACAAAGAACAGCTCAATAAAACCGAAGAAAGACATTTTAAAAAGTCATAAGCTTTCACAGACAGACAAAGTATGATGGGTTTTCCTTTTGAATTGCAAAGTTTCTTTTAAAGCAGTATTTGGACTTCAAGTAAAGCACTTAAACTGAGCTATCACGACTGCAGTTAACATTTTTCCAACTTTAATGGAAAAATGTCTACTTGATTTGCAAGAGTAACCTATGGTACCACCGAATTCTAGTTTAATCTACTGTGGTCATATTGCAATGATATTATAAAGCCTTGGGGTTTTATCTTGATACACAAAACTATCCTTACCTTTTTTTTTTTTAAGGAAAAAAAAAAGTATCTTGTTTTATACATGCTGGTGGACGTTGTGTGTACTAAAATAGTTTTTAGGGCTCTTTATCATGGTCTGGGACTTTACTGTTTTGTTTCATCTTTCATGGTTTTTTAACATAAATGACTAGTTCTCACAGATACTGAGAAATGTGTTCTAAATTGTTCTATGAGGTACTAAATAAGACTGTTTAGCATCCAACTACTTAAAAGGACAGTGTAAAATTGCGAATAGTTAAGAATTTGGGATCAGTCTTTGTCATACAAGCTGTTCATCCGTGATCTATGAACAAAAGACCCACCACGCCTGGCCAGACCAAAGGCCATTATATCTTGTTTCTGACAGCAGTCAACTGCAGAACTTTAAGGAAAAGTAAAACGGAGCAAGTAAGTGAAAAAAACTCTTCTCCAGCCTTCTACTGCAAGCGAACAACAAGGCACGTGTGACTTTTCTCCTACTCTGCTAAGCACGTATCAAGCTAGATTTCATGAGGGTGAACTTCCCACCCCGCCAGAACTGTCAAAAAAATAACAATTGTGAAGTCCAGTTAAAACTGGACATTAGGAAATGCTGGGGCCTTAACTTTTCCCAGCAGAACTTTAGAAGTTAAAAATAGCCATAGTACAAAACGGGTAATTGCTTCAACTTTCTTTTTGATACTTACATTGTTTTTCGTTGAATATTCTGCAGACAAATATAGAAACAATTGTTTAACATTCCAGTCAAATATACTCTGCAGATGTATGTGAGTTAAGAAAAATACCATATTGTACTTACATAACCTTGTTTTATTTTTACTAGATGTAAACAGACTATGATAGTTACAGTGAGTTCTTACCTTATGACTTATTTTATTTTTAAATCAGAGCTCTTCCAGGAGTTCTAACATATATTTTAATCACATTAAAACAACAGGTTTTGGGTGAGGTTTTTTATTATTATTATTTAAGAAATCTAACAGCTATTTCCTCCAATGATTCAAGAGTTCTATATTTGACACTGCGAACTAGTAAACAATCTGCTGCTAGACAATCTATTACAAAACTTCAAACATAAAAGGCAGGAGTTCTTCAGTGCATATTTTCAAATGGACTATTTATTCTGTCAAAGAACCCTGGTATCCAACTGCAGATTGAGATACAATAGCATTAAACAACATATAGATACAAAACTGGCAGAGTGTAGATCATTCAAGGAGTCTGTAATACCCACACTATCTAAGTTAGCAGATGCAAAGTTTTTCATATTGGAAGGGAAACTAGGAATTAGCAAATGTAATTACCTACTGACTACAAAGAAAGCCAGCTTATTAGACTGGAGCAAAACTCTGCTCATATTTTGATGAACAGTAAAGAATTCATAACTGGCATTTGAGACAGACTGTCAGTACAATAAAGTTGGTATGCTAAATACTTGGGTTTTTATTTAGCAACAAACTGTGTGACTGCTAACGACCTTTCAACCCACAATAAAGATTAGCTGTAACCTTTTTATTTCTCAGTCCTCTGTTTTTAATCTATTTCCCACTATCTCAGTGACTAAACAGATTGCCCAACCAGCCTCAAAATCTGTTCTATCTTGTTCCACTCATCTCAAGGCTGTATCACATTTTTAAGCTGCTCATTCAAAGGACAAGCAAAGAATTAAATAATTAACTGCTGCAAGAATAGCTAGAGCTATTTTACTTGAACATTTCTCATTACTTAACTCTAATCAACAAGCAAGATTCTGAAGATCTCCTTCGTAGGATTTCTTAATGCTTGCTAGTTAGCTATGAATTACATAAGTGAAAAAGAGTTTGAAAACTGTCTCCTCTGCTTTCCTTGCCTTAGTTTCTTTTTCTGTCATTTTATTTAATTCTCCTTAGGACTAAGAACTTATTTCCATTAGTTAAAAGATCCCACGTACTACTATCTCTTTACAAATTTTGTCCCAAAAATCCTACCAGAAAGCATTTTACAACTCTACACACAGCAAGACTTCTTTATGAAAGGCATGAAAAATTGAGTCACATAAAAATCCAGACTACTGCTACTACCAGAAGTCATTAAACATGGAATTTTACATCCACATAGTGCAGACTAATCCTTGCATAAGAATATTTCTTTCAGAGGTCCTGTCCTGCCTTGCTCTCCCTCCCCCTATAAACAATGCCTTCAATTCAATTCACCTACTTGAGAACTTCAGTCTGTTTTTAATATGTATAAGCATTTCGGAGGTAAAACTCAAGAGATCACTCTCATGCTTCTAGCTGATAAAAAAAAAAATCCTTCTTATTCTTGTGCAACACAGACCTGCAAAAATCTGCTAACCTGTTTATCCAGGTTTCATGTGCATTCAAGATTTATATTTCGTTTGCTCTGCTTATACAATGGAGCATTATCCAAAACATGGAAATTGAAACACAGAGGTAATCAATGGCTTGCCTAACACTGTGACAAAGAACAACAGACAAGGAAAAATCCCAGGAATCTCAGCCTAGCTGCAAAGCAAGGCTTAGTGTAATCACCTGAGGTAAAGCATGTTGCCTCATGTTTGGTACTGACTTCTACTGAAAAACAGCTGTGCAGTTGTTGGTGGTTTTTTTTTTTTTAATATGAAGACCTGAAATCTTAAGAATGATTCCCTTCTACTGTGAAAAAGCTACTCAAAACAAAACCAAGAACACTCCCACACAACCCTCTTTCCTCAGTAAAGAGCAGACTAACAGGGTAGTAGAGAAACACAAAGGAAAAGTTGCGAAAAGGTTAGCAGTAATGAGAAAAGAGTCCCAAGAGTAATGTTGCAAATTTTGTAGTACCTCATATGCTTCCCAATGAATTTTATACTATTCAGCGTTAAAGATTATTTAACATCTAGGTCAGCAAAGGATTATGATGTCATTTGCTTTTAAAGGAAGACAGGTACTTGTATGCATCTATTATGTGGCCAGAACTTTGAATGCCTTACAGCAAAAAGTCTGAAAGGTGCATCAGTATAACAATCAAAATAGTACGCTATATAAACCCAGTAATTAATTCACACCTCAAACTACCAATACAAACTTCACTTTAAAGTAATACTATCCAGATGTCAAACTACAGTTCCTATTACTAGATGCAATGAAGTTTACTACAGAGTCTGATATTAAAAACAGGCATTAAAAAGAGGAAAAATAACTTGCTCTGTGTCATCTACTAGAGCTATTCCAAGAACTACTTTACTGCCCTGGTTATCTATAATACTGCTTAAAATTTATATTTTAAATATATATATATAAAATACTGCTTAAAATTTATATTTCCTCAAGTCCTGAGTATTTGAACATTATAAGGTAACAAAAATAGATGTCAAGATGTTCTTATTTCAAAATGTTTGCCAGTCATTTTTTCCATTAAGGATATCTGCAGTAATGTCAAATGTGACGAATCCCAGATCGCTTCTTTCTCTAGGTCCAGTGAAATCTTCTACGTTTTTTCTAAGATAAAACAAAACACAAGATTATCCTTTCTCATTATTTCTCTTTCATGCATTACATAAATTGTTATTCTTATTACATATTTCCCTTGTCCATTTTCTATACTTTCTTTCAAATACTTTCAGCTAAAATACAATATTAGAAAATAAACACTGCGTTCCAGAAACAAGGAAGCCCCAGTTTCGAGTGACAGGCCATACCACCACAGTAATCTAAGTTAAAAAAATAGCCTATATACTTTTTCCAGTTAACAAAAATCTATATCTATCTGTACCTAAACTGCACTAGATTTCTTTTACGTAATATATGTGTTAGTCATGCCCAAAGATATAAAGCTGATGAGAACTGTCTGCTGGCAACGATTTTCAATACTATTTCTCACTTTTCCATTAAAAAAATGACCTTCTTATTCTCAGTCTCATAGAAGGCACTCCAACTACTCCAATAAAACAGAGTTTCTGTTTTTAATTCACACAACTTAGAAGACTTCTTGCTGGAATGTATTTAAATAGCAGTATAATGAAAATGCTTATTTTCTTCTACAATATGGAAAACCGTATTGTTTTGAAAGACTATTACAAATCCCCATTTGGAGAAATATCTGGCATTGCCACACTCAACCACGCTTGAAACTGGAAAATAGCCGAGACAGAGAAGGTACTTTCATATAAACTCACAAAATTTACCAATTTACCAAATATATCCTCTACAGAGAGGAATACCATAAGCAGGCTAGCAATTGGCTAGGAACCTTAATTCCTCATGTAACAAAAATATTATGTATTATGAACTTCTTTGGTCCATTTATTCCAGTTTGAAAATTATTCCCTTAAAATATAATTTCATTAAAACTAAGCTTAGTAATCTCAAAGAAAAAGAAGGTCTAACAGCATAAAAAACACTTTTGGGAAAAATGCCTCCAGAACTTCCCAATTTAAGTTTTTCCACAAATTTCTATCCTTTTGCAAAAAGCAACATATTTTTAAGTAGCTTTTCTCAAGCCTTTTACTTCATTTCTGTATCACTGTCAATCTGGTAGAGTAATAGGCCATAAGTCTGTGGTGTGCCGAAATTATTATTTTAAA